ACAATATGGTTTTTCTTGGTGCATTCCTTTAAGGGAGATCACTTTGCCATAGACCATTCACTGTCAGTGCAAAACATATAAATGTGTTTCTAACCAATCTGGTCTTATTACGACCAGTACCTAGTGCGTCGCATATTGGAAAATTTTGGGGGTAGGACGAAAAAAATTAACTCGGACAGTAGGGGTAGCTTGTACCAGATATATGAATCATAACTTAGTTTTGCCTGGTTTTGTTGTAGGTCACGACAAGGACAATTGTATTTGCAAGGCAGTGATCATCAGATATGTCACCAGATCCACCTCGATGTTCTGACCAGCATGGACACTGTAAATTACCCTGCAGCTCAGATTCAGTGCGTTAGTGAAGTACTAGTTACCCTCCTGTGGCATATGGAACTAACTTCACTGGGGTTTGAATATGAATATAGGTTCACCAAATTGAATGACTTCGGATTTCGTTTTCAGTTATACTTTTGAAATGATTCTTGTTCAATTGATTTAGTCATTTATTTTGGTACATATTTAAGTCATTACAGTGATTATTTACCTCACATATTTATGGCGATTAAAACCTTAACATATACGCTATAAGTACTAAAACAATTTAAACTGTGTTAAAACAATGGCTGATTACGGCTGTCTTGCAAAAAATGTACATATTAGATTACTGAAGGTTACTAAAATTGCTATCGTATGTACCACATCTGAAATAAACTCCTGCAGTAAATGGTCAAAATTCGTTTCTTCGTTTATTTATATATCGCATTTTTAAATAAAAGTAGTAAAAGATAATATTTTGGGGGAATTGGTTCAATTGCAAAATACAACATGTATTTCATCTTACAGATTACAACAAAGAAATACTTCTCTCGAATACTCCATTTTCCTGAACGACCTCACTTCTACACACACTGGACAATAGAAGTTTCACTCCCTGAATCAGAGAATCAAAGTTATTAACCTGAAGAGGCGGAATATAAGCAATTTTAGAATATCGATACAGCTGAATTGTTCAGTCAGAACCGTTTCTTTTGTGAAATTTGACGTTAATAAAATGATACCAGGAGCTTATCATTCCACAGTTATTTATCTCCCTTCAAAGAATTGGTTCAGTAGGGTGACACTTCTATTGTCCAGTGTGTGTACTTTAAATAGAAGTCATGATATGGGAAAATCTTTTTAAAAAATAAATAATAAAAATCTAAAAATTGAAGAAACAATCACATAGCAAATGCATTTGTCATCAATAGCCATCTAATATCACGTTATCTCTAAATATTATTTATTTAAACCAAAACAAAATCTACCATTGGTGTTACATGTATGTTCACACTCATAAGAAAGCTTTAAATTTGACCTCGGTTGACCTTTTAACCTATTCCTTATGAGGTATGACTTTTGTTTACAGGTGTCTTAATATATTAAGAAATAAATTGTCATATCTTAAACTGCATAAACATGTGGATTGTGCTGCTGTATCTTCTCCTTTCTTCCAGTTATGAACATTTTCTCTCCCCTACCCCAACTTTCAAAAGGGCGTATTTTGACTGATAGGTTCACATTCAATAAGTGATCATAATTTTCTAAAAAAAAAAAAACCTTAAGGCTCCAAATTTTGTTCAAAAACATTACAATATAACTTGTCCATGGTTCAGTCACAATATCTCAATTTCTTACTCAAACAATACTTTTAAAACAATTTTTGGCTTAAATGTATGAAAAATCCATGAAATATAACCTTTTCTGACATTTGCCCCATTATTAATCACCCTTTACAAATTGCCATGCATTCATGACTTATAGAATTAATTGCCACGTGCCTTACCTCCATAATTATATACAGAATTATAGACAGAATATTTTTTCGAAATAATTTTTTATCAGTTTTTTCCTATTTTGCTGACTGATAAATGAAAATAAGGCTTAATATCGTGTTTTAATAACTTTATATTATCTCTTTGATGTCATTGTGACATCAGTTCATTAATGAAATTCGCCAGAGAAGCAAACAAAAACACATTGCCTATTCTATGTCATACGACTCCCATTAAAAGAGATATTTTGGATCTCCATATTTTCCAAATTATCGTCTGTAAAAGGGTAATACGCTCCACAAAAGACCCTCATGTCAGTTTCTAGTCACAGTAATGCTCGTTGTTACGCCTGGCCTCTTCGTGGCTGTTGCCAGCGCTCTCAAGCGGCAAGGCATTTCTTGGGGGTAGGTTTTTAGAGTTCAATCTGGAATAGCATTCCAGGAATCGGTCTAAGATTGTCCAATCTGGTCCAGTTTTGTTGTAGGACATGTAGGCAGTTGATTGGTGAATAATGGTCTACCGAAATATTGTCTATGTGGTTCAAATGTGGCGATTTTGATGACCAGGGTAGCTGCTCATTCCCTTGGTTCTGTAAGTTANCGCACTGTAAAACTGACCGCTTGCATGCAAAATTTCAAATTCTTCTATGCAGTAGTTGTCGAAATATGGATACTTTTTTGACAGAACCAAGCTTTGCCTAAGCCAAGCTTTGATCAGCCCAAAGGAACACTACCCAATTAAATCACTGCAAATTACATAATGTAGCAGTGCAATAGGCATGAAAAACAGTTAATTGGTAGTGACACACCTTACTGCACACTTTTGCATTCACAAATCTTATATGAGATAGGATGTTTTTGAAAAAAGAACGTATTTTTACCTAGGTATACCTTCGAAACTGAAATATTCCATATTAAATGTCAAGTCTGTATAATTTATTGATATATACTTTACCATATTGATGTAGTGTGCACTTTGTCTCCCCTACCCCCACTTTCAAATAGGGGATGTTTTAACTGTTACGTTTATATCCAATTGCACAATTTTCTTAAATTAGATACTTGAGTTCCAAATTAATTTCCTTCACAATAATTATACTATAACATGGTCACCAATCATTCACAAAATGACAAAACATTTATTAAAACAATGTTTTAAAACATTTTGGTTCTGATTTATGAAAAACCAATAAAATATGACCTCTTGTAACCTCTTACCCATAATCAATAAGCCATGACTAATAGTCACGCATCCTTGAACGATGAAATTAAATGTCCCATATATATCATGTGTCACCCCTGTATATCATTATGTAGGCAAGGGATGGGACATTTAATCCCAATTAAACACCCATTCACCTGCACTAGCCCAAATTTAATTTATGTATTAACTTGCAGTGGATGCGGTGAGAACTATATAGGACAAACTGGAGACACTCTCCGACATAGAATGACCGTTCACAGACAACAAATAAGACAACCTAAATATCAGTGCACGTCTGTGAGTGGGCACATTAGGGAATGCTCTATGAACAAAAACAAGGACTTTACGGTATTCCCATTTTATAAATTCACTAGGGAAACAACCCAAACAGAAAGGGAAATGAAAGAAAATCTATTCATTAATAAGTATACAGTCAGATGGCAACTGGCCGCGCGTAGGAAAATATTCAGAACGGAGCGCGTGCGCTGAGATGACGTCGTGGTTGAATTTTTGTAAATTGAGTAACCTTCGCGGGAATTCACGAATTATCCTTAATTGCCTACATTGAATAGATAAAAGCATTGGTAAAAGTAACAATTAAACACCCATTGTTACAGACGTCACAATTTAGCCTTTATGACATCACCTAATAACAAATAAACAAAACCCCCTGAAGAAAGAAAGAAACCGGTCGGGGCAAAAAAGTTGCTGTTCTGTTTTTCTTTTTATTATATATATATATATATATATATATATATATATATATATATATATCATGAAACATTCCATCGATTCTACTTCAATCTCACCTAACACAATATCACAGTAGGTCACAGGTCGTTAAAATGCATACCCCAGTTCCAAACCTTTAACCTGCCAAGTTACACTCATACTGACGTGAATGTAAATAAAGCCACCTCGACTTTTGAGTGCCCCCAGTATATTGCTCAGGTCTACAGACGTTAGTGATTTTAATGAGGTGGGTATGAAGTGTTTTAACATACTGAGAGTTTCAGATGCTTTCTTGCTTAAACCTGACCATGCACACACGCACACACACACGCGCACACACGCGCACACACTGGATTTGGTACGAGTCTTGAATTTACTGGAGATACGGTATTCACACCATTGATGTTGACCTAAATACTGTATTTACCTGTACATAAGACTCATAGTTAGGTTGCCAATCTAGTTCAGGGGTACAGTGGACGTTCTCAAATAAAGTTTTTCCACTGGTTTTCACAGGCTTATAACCCTTTGATAAATAGCTGGCTGGTAAAATGCATGCACCTTGGTCATTACAAGATGGCCGATGCTTCAATAGGTGCATATGGGTGTCAAAATAATTACTACCAGTACATGTACTACCAGGGATTTATAGTGCCTTTTATTGACTTTATTATTCCTATCATTATTTTAGCCTCCTCTTAGACATGAAATATACTCTTATAAGATAAATGCAAAAACACATAGATTTCTTTGAAAAGATATTAAAAAAAAACAAAATCTAAAGCAATGCCTGTTGTGTTGTAATTTGATAACCGGGAGCATAAGATGGATTTACTATTAAAGAGAGAGTCTTATGGTACAAATCCCTTAACCAAATGTTTGTTTCTCAATGTTTTCCATTTCTCCAATTGAACTTTGTTTTCATTATTTTATTAATACCAATGTTCCCCAATTCTCATACGTATACTTGTGCTATGCTTCTGTATTAACAACTGCCATAGAGATAAATGGTCCATTATGAAATGGAGTGAATGTTATCTTGTGTTTGTATGGAATTAAGTTCACTATAGTTTTTTCAAGGCTACACAACCTTGTTACCCTTATTATGTTATTTGCTATGTAACAGTTAAGTGTGCATATTGGCTAGTTTTGAGAGGGGTTTTCCCAGTATTTCTCAACAAATGGAGGTCATTTTGTTTTTGTTTTTTGTTTTTTTCATTCATAAAGAAACAATTCTTAATCCCCTTATATAGGCCAGGTCAACTTGAATAGGAAAATGGCGAAGCAAGGGGAGCAATGGATACCAATTTTTGAAGAGTTTGATAAGCCAGGTCTCGATAACGAGAGAGCAAAACAAATTTATGAAAAATGGGCTGATAATTATGATAAGGTAAAGTTAGAATTCTGCGTGATTTGCTTTTGGCAATAATTAATTTGCTTAAACATTGAAAAGTGGCACAATCAACTTTTTTGTAGGGAAAATAGATGTAACTCTGAGATTGGGATGTCTATGCATCATACATAAATGCCTTCATAAAATAGACTACATGTATTTGACATAAATATTCTTAGATAAATGATGGCATTAAATCATCATCATTAAAGATGTAATTTATTATTTTCTTTCAGAACATGGCAATTCTAAATTACACTCAACCAAGTGTCTGCGCAGCCGAAATAGAAAAATGCTTAAAGGACAACAAAGATGCTCTTATTTTGGAGGCCGCCTGCGGGACCGGTTTAGGGGGCATAGAGGTGATTAATATATGTCACTAAGTAATATCATAATATTTTTTGGGTATCTTTCATGGTATACGAGTCTTTAGGGGTGAAGACTGGCACATAAAAGCTGGCTTCAGGTTTAAGGCAGTGCATGGTCAGTAGTCTTCGATCCTGCTCCAGGACATTGAACTGAAATTCATTACCCTAGCATTTGCATTGGTTGCGTAGGGAAATGGAACTAAAATAAACTTCTCTCTACATATATTTTCTAGCTGACAAAGCGTGGTTTCCACAACCTCCATGCCTTCGACATGTCCAGTAAAATGCTTGACATTGCCAAGCAGAAGAATATCTATAGAAAATTGATGTGTATTAGACTTGGTCCGGAGGGACTGGATATCCCTGATGGTATGTATGGTCTAGTACATGTTCATGCGAATAATATGCAGTATATACATCTCTCTCGCTCTCTCTCTCTCTCTCTCACGCACACACACAAACACACACAAACACACACACACACACAAAGTTGGGGTGCCTTAAATAAGCGTAAAAGTTGGCAAAATAGAATAGAACTACTAGATTTTACATGTGGTTTCCTTTTAATGCAAAACTTAAAACTAAGTAACGTCGAAATACTTGGGAAAGTTACTTCGTAATGACAAAGACGTTCGAAGATGTTCGTAAGTTAATGTAAGTTTATATAATTATACCTCCGCCAAGGAGGTTATGTTTTCACCCCTGTTTGCTTGTCTGTCATCAACATAACTCAAAAAGTGATGGACCGATTTTGATGAAATTTTCAAAAAAAAAAAAAATGTCAGAAGTGGGCCAAGAAAGAGATGATACGTTTTTGGTGGTAATCCGGATCATTAATCAATCAATAATCAAACATCAAACATCAAACATCAACATAACTGAAAAAGTTATGGGCTGATTTTGATGAAATTTTCAGGGTGGATCAGAAATGGGTTAACTTAGAAGCGATTAGTTTTTGGCGGTGATCTGGATCAATAATCATTCAATTATCAATAATCATAAATCAATCTTCAACATAACTCAAAAAGGTATGGACCGATTTTGATGAACGTTTCAGGGTAGGTCAGAAATGGGTTGACTTAGAAGTGATTAGTTTTTGGTGGTGATACGGATCAATAATCAATAATAATCAAACATTGGCGGAGGTCTGCGCTCTCAGAGTGTTTTTCTAATTATACATATCTTTATTTATCACCTTATCATACGGCTAATGAATTCTTAGTATTTCTTTACAATCTATGATTGCAACTGTTTTAGTTGTGTAATGACATGTGCTGTTTGTAAGAATTATTAGATGTCTATTTGAAACTTTTATCAGCGTATATGCCATGAGTCCATACTGTTAAAAGAAGCCAACTTTTGTGATTAAGCCCGATTCTCTATCTGATCGCAGATTGTCAAAGAGTTAGCCTATCTAAATGGCCGTTAAGTCCAGTTCATTTCCTTGCTTAACTGGATTTTACTTCAGGAACTGAAGCATGAAGTTGGTACATCAAAAGTCACCCGATGATCATGTTTTCATAATCAAACATACAGCTTATTAAATCGTTCATTTAAATGTATATTGCCAACAGCACCGGGAATGTGGAACGCGGTCATGAAGGACTATTTAAGCATAAATATATATTTTGTTTGTTTGTTTGTTTGTTTGCATAGAAGTATATATATTGATGCACATAGAAAGATATATATTATAGTTGTTAAATACAATCCGATACATAATCCCCGAAGAAGACACAGTGGCCGAATGCTATTTAACAATATACTTCTATTATTACCAAGATCTATACGGTGAATCAACATGAATCCTTTGTTTGTTTACAGACACATACGATGCGGTCATGATGACAGGGGCAGCGGGTTTAGCTCATATCGGCGGAGATTGCTTGGGAGAATTCATTCGAATTGTCAAACCAGGTAGGTTAAGGGGACATTTTATGATATAAATTTCATTTCAGATAAATTATGAGAAAATTAAGAGGAAATTTCCCACACTGACAAGTAACCGAGATAAATATTTGAAAGAGGAAACAGAATGAACTGTTCTTGAGCTTAATGAAGTTACAAGACAGATAAATTATAAATTGTTCATTTCAGCAGGGATTTTTGTTTCACAAAAGGCCACCAGTTTATCTCTAGATGAAATTTTGTTAAAACTTTTAGAAACAAATGCTGCTTTGGACATGAAGGTGGAAACTAGGAATTCCACTTGATCTCCTTTAAAATGTATTTTTAAAAATCATTATATCAAAATTATTATTCTATTATATTAAAATTATTGAACACATTTTTCTAATACATTTTTTTCCTTTTAAGGGGACTATTAATGCATTTTAACCATCTCGTACAGCTTATCTAAGAAAGCATCAGATGCCCTTGCGACTATCAATTTGTGTTTCTAATTTCCCAAGTGTCCTTTTTACACTTTACTGTAAACTATTTTAATATGTCAGATTTATCAAAAAACATTTTAAATTACTTTTCATTTTAGTGGACAATGCTCAATGACAACGAACTGGGTTTCCGTAAACCAATGGAACCACTTTCAAATCAATGAGCAATTTTGTATAAAGAGGCTTAAACTAAAAAAATCAATAAATGGATAAAGTATAAATTCGCGCATAGTTCATTACTTTTTTGATTACCAAGAGATAAAGGTGTTCTTTTCAATATTTGAATAAAAATGAACAAAAAGGAGTTAAGCATTTTCAATTGGTTTTATCTTTCAGGTGGTTACGTGGTGATGGACACCATTCTTAAATACATCGTTGGCACTGAATACAACGGCAAGAGCTGGGATGAAACAATAGACGACTTCCTCATGGCCGGACGCTGGGTCACAGTGACCAGACGACAGGTGGAGAACTCCTTCAACACTATGGAGGGAATGCAGTACGCCTTTCAAGTGAAGTGACTGTGGTTTACAAGTCGATCTATTTCAACCACGCCAGACATGAGTGTAAAACCAAGGTGGACCTATGGAGATTTCCCTGCGGCTTTTGCTTCTGAATGGTTGCACCAATACATACACACATACGCTTAAAATTTGCTTTCTTCGCGCCTGCTTGGTGAAAACATGTGTGATCAACAGAAGTCAGGGTGAATAAATATGCTGAACTTAAAATTTCAATTTCTCAATCTATCAATTTCTAAATGGAATGCGATAACATTTAAGAAAACTGTATTAATATATGGTACATATAATTTATAATTGTATAACTTCAACCTTCGGGTTGCGATTTCCCAATAAAGATTATTATTATTATTATTATTATTATTATTATTATTATTATATCCCCTTACGATTCCCACGAATCTACTTCCATCTCACCTATCACAATATCACAGAACCATCTGTCATTAAAATGCATACCCCTGTTCCGAACGTTTGACCTGCCAAGTTACACTTAAGTTCATACTGACGTGAATGTAAATAAATTCATCTCGACTTGAGTGCCCTCAGTATATTGCTCAGGTCTACGGAAGTAAGTTGTTTAAATGAGGTGGGTATGAAGTGTTTTGACACACTGAGAGTTTTAGATGCTTTCTTGCTTTAACCTGACCACACACACACACACACACTCACACACACTGGTTATTGTATGGGTCTTGTACAGGGGTATTTATACTCTAGATACGGTATGCACACAACTGATGTTGCCCTACATACCGTATTTACCTGTACATAAGAATCATCGTCAGGTTGCTAAGCTAGTTCAGGGGTATAGAGGACGTTCTCAGATAAAGTTTTTTCGTTGATTTCCACAGGCCTATAACTCTTTAATAAATAACTGGCCGGTAAAATGCATGTACCTTGGTCATTCCAAGATGGCCGACATTGCAATAGGTGTATATGAGTGTCAACATGTTCTACCAGGGATTAATAGTGCCTTTTATTATTCCTATCATTATTTTTAGCCACCTTTTAGACATGGAATATAAAATATATATCTATACGCTAATAAGATATATGCATACATACATAGATTTCTTTAATAAGATAATTTAAAAATAAAATCGAATGCATTGCGTGTGTTGTTACTTGATAAATTTTGGAAGCATAAGATGTCACAGTAGGGTGTATTTACCATTATATAGATAGTCTTATGGCACAAACACCTAACCAATTAATGTTTGTTTCTCAGTATTTCCCATTTCTGCTATATCCCGATGATTTCATGTGTGTATCATTAGCCATTTTGAGAAAATCTAATATTGGCACAGATGGCCGTCATTTATCACATGAATACACGGATTCTATTTTCCAGGGGTATACAGGTTATCAAATGAACTTTTTAAAATTTATTTATTTATTCGTTTATTTTTGTTAATACCACTATTACTCCAATTAATTAGGAATAAATCACCTAGGGGGGTTCCTAGAATTTCTGTAACAAATGTTGGTCGTTTTGTATTTTTTTTAATTCATAAGGAAACAATTCTTAATCCCCTTATATAGGCCAGGTCAACTTGAATAGGAACATGGCGAAGCAAGGGGAGCAACGGATACCAATTTTTGAAGAGTTTGAGAAGCCGGGACTCGATAACGAGAGAGCAGAACAAATTTATGAAAAATGGGCTGAAAATTATGATAAGGTAAAGTTGGAATTCTGCGTGATTTGTTTGTGGCAATGATTACTTTGATTAGACATCGATGATAGAGGTTGCATATTGTTCAGCCCTATTATCAGGCTTCAAAACGAATTGGGCGTTTCTAATTCGAGCCTCAGATTTGTGAACACACTAAATGCCCGAATTAACGACTCCAGCCAATAATTAACTACCCCAATGTAAAATTACGTGCTAGAAGCACAGCTTTTCATTACACAAGCCGTTTAACCGGTACTTTTGTTTAAGCAAGAGGTATTCGAGAAACACTGCTGCCGTACACAAAGAACCCATTGGAGGCCTATGTATACAGCCAGAGACCCGATAAGAAGCTGGCCAAATTGTTTGTGTCATGAAACTTTAAACTTGTAGCAAGTAATTCTACGTTGGGTTCATTAATCCGTGGCTGGATTCGTTACTTTGTGAATTTGTGCTCCCAAATCTAAGACTCGTGTTAGAAAACGGCAATTATCGTTTATGAGGCCTATTCATATATTTGTCCTTCCCCTTTGGACCAAAAATGCACTGTAATGTGGCAATTTCATTTCTTCTATCTCTATATAAAAGTTGTTTTAATAAGGAATCATCAAACAACAAGCGTCATAATCAACTTGCTTTGTTTGAAAAAAGATGTGAGATTGGGGTGTCTATGAAATACACCGAGATACCTTCACACAATAAACTATTTAACATAAGTATTCTTAGATAAATGATAACATTATATCATCATCATTTAATATTTAATTAATTTTTTTCAGGATATGGCAACTCTAAATTACACTCAACCAAGTGTCTGCGCAGCCGAAATAGAGAAATGTTTAAAAGACAACAAAGACGCGCTTATTTTGGAGGCCGCCTGTGGGACCGGTTTAGGGGGCATAGAGGTGATTAGTATGTCGCTGAGTTAGTAATATCGAAATACATCTTAACAATTTAGCACACCGGGTGTCTTTTATGGTATAAAAGACTTTAGGGGTGTAGGCTAGCACATAAAGGCTGGCTTCACGTTAAAAGTCAGTCAACAGATTCTTCGATATTGGGTCAGGATGTTGTAGAGTCTTTGGAACAGGTTTGAACCAACGTATTAACCTCGGTTGCCTAGGGAATGTAGCTATTTAAAACACCTGTAAACTTCTTTTT